GCCTTCCAGCTCCTATGATGCTGCTTGGCCTGCTGTGTTCATCCGGCTCTATACCTTGTTATCTCTAATGTTCCAACTCAAATTTGTTTGCAAATAAAGCAGAAACTGTCAACAATCTCAATAAAGTCAATGTACGTTGAATAGACAACAGGAGAGGAGTTTCAGCCAATAGTATATACAGGAGCTGCCCAGCCTGGGTTGTGTTCACTTCATTGACAATCATCAACTTGTACTTACACAGCACATTTCATGTAAAACAAAGCTCTTCACATGGGCTTCCAAAATAATTAAAACAATAACAATGAGTGTAATCAGGGATACGGAGGAGAGCAGTTTTATATGAGCACAAATATCTGAGGATTATAGGTCCAAAGAAGATTGAGGCCTTGGAGATAATTAAACATATGGATGTGTGTAAGAATGTTAAAATGAGAATATTGCAAGAACTCAAGCAATGTAGAACAGCAAGCATGGTGTAATGGTAGAAATAGGGCTCTGAGCAAATTAGGATGACAGCTGGGGAGAATGGGGGCCAGAATTTATTTGGAAATAGTAATGCCTTCATTAATTTTGCAGAACAGACAACAATGTCATTATCTATGCCTGTTAGTATGTGTACATGTATAAATGTATAGAGATATATATTAAAAAATAGTACAGAAATGCTGAGTGTAGTTGGCAGGTCTGGCAGCATCTATGAATAGAAAAAGTCAATCTTTCAGGTTGATGACCTTTCACTGGTTCTGATGTGGACACTGAAATGTTAACTTGATTTCTCTTTCTAATTTTATATAAAATATCAGATCGATTCTCCACCATCAATTACTTTGGCAGGTATTTGTTGTAGCACCATGTTCTGTGGACAACTACAAAACAGAAAAACCCCAGCGTCTGGAACACTAACAATTTGATTGGGGGCCATTAATTGTTTTAAGGAAGGCATTTGGTTTTATTCACTTGCCCATGATCCTCAATGAGAAGTGTGTGGACAGATAGGAGTTGAGTATTGGGTAAATATACAGTGAAATGCTCATTATGACTGGATGAACTGGACTCACATTCAAGAACCAGTGGATGTGGTGTATTTAGATTTTCAGACGACTTTTGATAAGGTCCCTTGAAAAAGATTAGTAGACAAAGTTAAAACAAATGAAATGGATTGGCATAAAAATACATAGGGATAGATCAAGAATTGGTTAATAGGAAAGAGAATGGGAATAAATGGATCTTCTTCTGAACAGCAGGCAGTGACTGGATCAGCACCATAAGGATCAGTGCTCAGGCCCCAGCTATTCACAATACATACAAAACATTCCTCACTCAAAAGGGTAATGAACCTACGTAATTCTCTACCACAGAAGGGTAATAGAGGCCAAGTCACTGAATAGGTTCAAGAAAGAGATATATTTTTACATTTTAAAGGCATCAAGGGACATAAGGAGCATGCAAGAATATAGCATTGAGGAAGTGAACCAGCCATGATCACATAGAATGGCAAAGCAGGCTCGAAGGGCTGAATGGCCCACACTTGGTCCTCATTTCCCTGCCGATGTCTGTCATATCCCACAGCTGAAGGATGACCTTCTGTTTATAGAACATGAGTAAGGGTCATAAATGTCAGAAGTGGGGGTAATAGTGAGAACGAAACCTGTTGGTGGTATGTCCAGTTCTCCACTAAATCTCTGAAAGTTGTGAAACTAAAGTTGTAAATCTGGTGATGCCATTCAGACAGACTAACTCACACATGAGTCCCTTCACTTTAATAAAGAAAAGCTGCACTTGCATGTGCATTAGTAGGAATCTCACAAATATATGGAAACCAAGAGTGACAAATACCTAGTCACGAAAATCATGTAAAAGAGTATATTGGTTAATAAAAATAAAGTGTTAAACAAAACGGAATTACTTTACATTGTAAAAATTAGCTTAGTATTGTTTATTCCCACGCATCCATCAGATTGTTGTTTCAGCAAACATCTCAACAAAGAAGTGACTCCAATAACGTAGATCAAGGCACTGGTGGACTGACTTTGTCCTTCTGTAGCGTCTCAGTCCAGCATTGTCCACCAGTTGACTCAAAGCCTTCAGAAACCATAACAGCAGCAGAACAGCCCAGAAATTACTTCAGTTGAGATGAGGCAACTCTTAGTCGCACCCTCTTAAAAAGGTGCCAGAAGAATATTGTGTGGTTGTTGGGATAAACCAATTCCCCACTCTCACTTTTCCACCTGAATTAGTGCTTCAGTGTATTAATGAACCTTCAACTAAACCCAGCTATTAATTTTAGCCTGTAAGCAGTATTGAATTTGCCTATTTCTGAATCAGAGCATGTGGTCAACAACTCACTGGCCTCCAGCAACTGACACTGCACTAAGTAAAGAGTTATCTATTAGGTAGGATGTCCATACATAAAGTTGGTGTATTTATATATACACAGCTCCCTAAACAATGCAAGCATTCTAGGGCACTTCACAGAAAACTTTCTTGAACCACATGAAGAGATAACAGAGCAGGTGACCAGAAGCTTGGTTAAAAAGGTCAGTTGAGGATAGTTAGATGTAGAGAGTGGAGAGGTGCAGCAAGGGAACTCCACAGATTAGGCCCCAGGCAGCTAAAGACATGTGGAGTGATAAAAACCAGGCACGATTTCGAGGCCAGAAGTAAAACAGTACCGATATCTGAGAAGGCTGGAGGAGATTCCTGAGGTAAGCAGTGGTGAAATCACAGAGGGATTTGAAAACAAGGATGAGAATTTCAAAATCAAGGTGTTGCTTCACTGGTAGCCAGGGCAGATCAGTGAGCACTCAGGAGATTGGGAATTGGACTCAGGTAAAACAAGGGTAGCGGGTTTGAAACTGATAAAAAGGAGCTGGAGATCTGAAATAAAGACAGAAAATGCTGGACATATTTAGCAGGTGTGGCAACATCTTTCAAGAGAGAAGAAAGAATTAACATTTTGAGTCCAATGTCATTCGGTGAAAATCAACAGTTTGCACCAAATTCTACTGCAGTGAAGATAAAATAAACAACAGTTTCAGGGACAGAATGAGCATGGATTTTATTAAATTTGAAGAAAACCTTGAGTGGAGTGGAAATGCATCCAAACTTCAGTGCACTTTGATCCTTAGCCTGTCATTTCCCTGGAAATCCATTCAGAAACATCACATAATCATTTCCTCATCAGTGATGGTGTTTCAAAGTGCTGTAGCTGCTGGGAACATTGGCAATGACAAGGTGACCAGGCTCCAAAACTCGCTCTTTCGGATCCTCACTTGGCACATGTAAGAGTTTGTCCACTCACCGTGGGCACATGGCATGGCGCCCACCATCCACTGGCAGCGTGACTCCAGTGATGAAAGAAGCTGCATCAGAGGCCAGGAAGGCAATGGCTTGGGCTACTTCATCTACCTGTCCAGGACGCCCCAAGGCATGGGTCACCTTGCATTTATTCAGGAACTGCAAGGAAAGAAGAGACAAGGTCAGAGGTAGCACACAACCAGACTAACCATCCCCATCTCTCGCTCATCCCCCTGAATCAGCAATCCCCTTCTCTGTGCATTGTAGTTATCTCCCCTTGCTTCCCCCTCTCCCTAAATACTGCAACCAATTGGCTACGCAGGCCATTTCAGCTCCAGGACATCTCCGCAGGAGTTCCTCAAGGTAATGTCCTAGACCCAACTATCTTCAGCAACCTACTATGCACATTAAGTCAGAATTGGGGATGTTTGCTGATGACTGTACAATGTTCAGCCCCATTTGTGACTCCTCAGATACTAAAGTAGTCCGTGTCCAAATTCAACAAGGCTTGCACAATAGCCAGGCTTTGGCTTACAAGTGGCAAGTAACATTTATGACACACAAATGCCAGGCAGTCTGCCATCTCCAACAAAAGAGAATCTAACATCACCCCTTGATGTTCACTAACATCAGTGAATCCCCCACTATTAACATCCTAGAGGTTGCCATTTTACAGAAACTGATGCGGGTGCAGTTACAATGTTTAAAAGACATTTAGATAAGTACATGAATACAAAGTGTTTGGAGGGAGGGATATGGGCTAAGCGCAAACAGGTGGGACTAGTTCAGTTTGGGATTATGGTCAGCATGGACTGGTTGCATGGAAGGGTCTGTTTCCGTGCTGTATGACTATGAACTAAACTAGCCACATCTATACTGTGGCTACAAAAGCAGATCAGCGGATTGGAATACGACAGTAAGTAACTCACCTCCTGACTCCCAAAAGTCTATCCACCATCAACAAGGCATAAGTCAGGAGTGTGATGGAATACTCCCCACTTGCCTGGATGGGTGCAGCTCCAACAACACTCAAGAAACTTGACACCAACCAGGACAAAGCAGCCCGCTTGAGTGGCACCACATCTGCAAACATCGAGTTACTCCACCACCAACACTCAGTAGCAGATACGCTACAAGATACAGTGCAGAAATTCACCAAGGCATTTACACAGCATTGTCCAACCCCATACCATCTAGAAGGACAAGGGCAGCGGAAAAACGGGAAAACCCTCCCTGCAAGTTCCCCTGCAGTCACTCACTATCTGGACTTGGAAATATAA